ACACACACACACACACAGAAAGAGGCGACCGTGCCAGCTCGCCTCTTAGGGATGTAATGAAACATTTATGGTAGAAACCCTTTTTTTTTTTTTTTTTTACTGGGGAGAGTCTGAAGGTCTCTTGTAATGAGCAAACGTCTGTAGTCAGCCCACGACCTGGGTCTCCAAAAGCTCACTCTAACAGGTAGGGTGACAGTGTGTGTGTGTGTGTGCGTTTGTGTGCACATGGTCACATGTGGAACAATGCCAGAGTCTTTTTCAAATGCCTGCTTCTAGTTTCAAAGAAACATTTAGGGTCAGTATTGTATTACCGCTCAGTAAATTGGCTAGAAACTCACAACGCCTGTTTTCCTCGTCTTTAAAAGATTAAAACTGGAGCTCAGTTTTTATTTCTCATAGGTGACTTTGGGTGAAGTCGGAAACCTTGGCGGAGTGAATTATGGTTGCTGTACTGGAATTACGCAGTGCTAGATCTGTACAGCAATACGTGATGCAATCTAATGCAAGAAGCAGACCAATGGGAGGGAGGTAATATCACTGACTGCGTTTTTACCATATTTAGACTTAGAATAAATGATCACTTGTTCGGGGGTCTCAGGAATACATAATTTCAGATTATTTTCTCCATTTTCTTGATGTAACTTGACAAACAGCTTTAGATTGCATCAAATAAAACAATGACAGAATGACCCTGACAGTGCTCTATACCGCTTCTCTATCATTGTTGAAGAAATCTATTAACAGAAGCAAACTGTCTAAATTCCTTTTCTAATCTGTGGCCTATTTATTTAAACTCATGATTGAATACTCTGTGTAAAAAAAAAAAGAAGCTAAAAGAACTGCTAAAATATTAATAGATGCCACTCAGATATGAGTAAATGCTGTATTTCTTCTCAACTTTCTTTGTGCACGTGAATATTTTTGGCAACAGACTAAAGAAAAGTATAAAAATGTTTTTCAGCGTATAAAATGCAATATTTCTGCGCATACAGCAGTTTCTGGATAACATTTCAAGTCTTCAATCTATTTCAATCTATTTTACATCAAGCTATCCGACTTACAATTCATATTGAACAAATTATTAATAATAATTAATAAATAGACAGGACAGGTGTAATAAGCCTACACCTGTATTTTTTTCCCATTTAATTCAATTCTTTGTTATCATTCTTTATTTTTTATTAGCATTTTTGGTTTGTTATTGTGTGACTTATCATCGATATCATCTAGCACTTAATATTCTGAGATCTTTTGTGAATAAATAAATCTCAGTGAGATGTAGAGTAAAATTACCATAAAAAAATAAATAAAGTATAAACACTCTTTTTATTTAACTGCAAACACCTTGGGCGACATGTTTGATGTCAGCTCTGTATGCATGATATTTTAAAGCTGTTCTGATTAAATCCATTAGCTGCAGCAGTGGTCCCTAAACTTTTTCTAACCATAGCACTTCCTGAGATCTAAAAACATTACTTTTTTAGCACTATTGGTTAATTTGATATTTTTTTTCTGTACATCAAACACTCCTCACTAAGACGATAACAATGAGCTGGTATTACCAACTAAACATATGCAAATAATTATCATCGTTATTAAAGTGCCCGATTATTCTCATTGTCAGTTCTATAGATTTATTCTTGGACTCTGCTAAAATACTTTTGTATGAGTCACAATTCAAAATAATCCTTATTTGTTTTATACTGGGCCATGGGGTAGCCCCTCAGAGCATCCTCTCTCTCCACCAAGATGACTTAAGCCAACTTTCTTCTGATTGGCTGCCCCTCATTCTCAAAAGATTTGAATAGGAGGTTACCCTATTAGGGATATCCACTCTTAGTGACATCATACAGAGCAGAAAAATGGGTGTTTACATCAGTCTAAAGTCTTTGGGTTATGTGAGCTTACACTGTACCATTAGTTAAAACTTTATCAGGAGATTTTGATCCAAATTGGCAACAAACCATCAGAGGTGCAGCAAGTATTAAACAAACGAGTTTGGGAAGAAAATACCTGAAATATACAGAGTAATTTGTACATAGCTGGACTCTCAAATAAACCTTCTGCCACTCTTTTTCTTTGCTTCACATTTGTCTATTTCCACACTTTTAAAAAAATGTTTCAGATCTATCATCTAAAGGAAATATATGAATCCAATAACAAAATAGCAGTAATATGTATAGTACAATACAATAAATAATAAAATAAGTCTCACCTGTAGTAGCTCCTCCTGCTGTCTCCTGTGCTCCTCTTGCAGCGCTCTGACCTGAGCAGCGTGTATCTCTTTCAGCTGCTCTCGCTTATCCCTCTGACTGCCGAGACCTTCACACCACTGCCCTGCAGCTACAGACAGGAAACACAACATGTGGTCACATATGAAATTCACTGTTGGCCCACTACATTTGCCTACAGGTCATTTGCACAACTGTTACTATACTTTATAAGATTTGAAAAATTAGCTTTCTAATGATGTAGAGTCTGGGGTTGAGTCTAAATATTTTCTCCTTTTCCCCTTTTTGTGGCACAAAGATTAAAGAAGAGCTGTTATCTTTTTTCTTTACCTTTATTTTCTGTCATATATTACACTTAAACCAAAATCTAAAGACATCATTATGGGCGAGGTGTCTGTCAGTGTCTGGGTGAGCTGTAACATTACCAGCACACCTAACCATTTATAGTGTTGAGGCACCCGAGGCACGATGGAAAGAAAGGTGTCACCACTCGATCAAAGAGTTTTTTTTACACAACACCTCATCATTTCCACGTGATGCACTATCCCCTCCTGTATTAAACATCAAGAGTCTCCAACTCAAGACAAAACAACACAAAGACGTCGGCTATTTTTGGTGCATGTATAAACTGTCAGGCCTCAAACTGTTCTAAACACTGTGTTTCAGGCAGTTTGTTCTACTCTTGGCTCTGTATGATGTCACTGAGAATAAATATCTAATAACTAACATGGTTATTTAAACAACACTTCCTCTTCTCGTCTTACCTCTGGGTGTGCTGGAGTTGGGTCTGACAGAGTCCACTCCCCCACTGGTATTGGCACTCCCTTCCAGTGTCTCCTCCATCGTGTGCATTAGCAGTCTCCGTTTGACCTTGGACACCCCTCCCTGACCGTCACTGCCACTCTGTGGGGTCAGATGCTTTTCTTGCTCAGGATGACCTTGTGACCCTGATCTTTCAGTGAACCACAGGCCAGACGGTGTGTCCACATCATATGACTGATTTAGAGATGGTGAGTGGGTGGAGTTGTGACCTTCTACGACCAATTCTTTCCTTCTTTCAACAAGGTGTTTACTGTTATCTGAAGGCACTGAGATGTAACTCCGAAAAGGAGGATCAGATGGAACATTTCGGAAAACATCGGGAATGCGCATCTGCTGAGCCACAGAAAGGATGCATTTACCAGGTGGCTGCTGCTTTCCGCAATCTCCAGGCTGTGAGGAACTCCCGGTTAGTGCTTCTCTGCTCACTTTTTTCCAACTTTCTCTCTCTGCAGATAAGGTTTTGATCAATTTGCGCTCGCTAAAATCACAGAGCTCATCCCCGTTCTCCTTAACTGTGAGGGGAACATCATCTGTGTCACTGACAGTCGCTTCCGGAACTAAGTCTCCATGCATGTTTCTGTAATTGTTATATAACTGCCTGCTCGACCACTTCCTGTACTCTGCATCACTGCTATTATCACCATGAGCTCTCTGCTTGTCCTCCCAATAATCACTTTTTATTTGCTCATTTGTCATACCCTTAAAACTTAACTCACTTTGCAGGCTGCTCTCAGCTTGGCTGTGACTGTCTTCTTTCAAGTTTTCTTTCACCGTTGACTCAAGATCTGTGATCAGAACCTTAAGACTGGACAGGTCTGACTCCAACTGATCCATGTGCTGTGAACTCTCAGTTAAAATGCTTGTTACTTCCCCTTCAACTGTGAGATTCACTCCGGGAGGACTCACTATAGGACTGTTTTGATGACCTGGATTAACTTCTTCAGAATTGTGATGGTCTTTCAAACCAGTACCAACCTCAAGTTTCCCCTTTGAGGTCTCCTCCACATCAACCTTTTGTCCACTTTTTCTTTTGTAGTGAACAGGGCTCCTGCAGAAGCTAGGGGCTGGGACTGTGCGATATTTCCCTGCTCCTTTAAAAAAAGCTGGAGGATCTTTAACAAGGGAAGTTTCTAATGGCTGTTGCTGGATGAAGGCACTGAATTGTTTTGGCTTTATTAAGACCTCCTGTGAACTGTTCAGCCTATTACTTATGATGATTGTTTCTTCATCAACACTAGTCATTTCCTTATTATCTCCATCTCCTGTTAAATGTGTCATATTTTTCCCAGAGAGTTCACTTTCAATCATCCGCTCATTCTCATAGGATTTCTTTAACGAAGTTTCCACTGACGAGATAAAAGTACTTCTCTTGTCTTTAGTCTTCTTCCCCTCTGCAGTCACAGTGTCCTTGTAAGGGATCTCATCATTCTCCTTATCAGAGCTGCTCTGCTCCTCTGCCTTTGCTCTTGGCTGTTCTTGGGTTCTCTCTTGGATTTTAGTGTTTTTGGCTTGGTTCCTAAGCATCCGCTGGCGCCGTCGATACTCCTGAGATTTCTTCAGCAAGGCCTGGAGGCTCAGACGATAAGGCTCCTCAGACAGCTTTGAGTCTGCTTCATCTACCTGGTTGTCCTCTAGTTCAGTCTCTCTGGGACTACGCTGAACACACAGTTCTGTTGTAAGACGGTGACGAGTGCTTTGTGTGTGTGTTGGATTATCTGAAAAGCTGCTTTTTTCCAAAAAAGCAACTGAGTCCTCATTTTTGTCTAAATGTGCATCTTTGTCAGGGTCATGCACTGAACTAAAGGGATCGTTATCATCACGCATCACACTGTCCAGTTGACCATTTTTAGATTTTTCTGTTGGTAAAGGATTACACAAGAGTGAATCCTCCTCAAATGACGTGCAACAAATTTCTCTCAACTCTGTTAAGTTATCACAAAAAGATGACTCCCGCCCACTCCTCTCTAATTCCTCTCCATCTATGGGAGGGTGGCTGATAATATCTGGCATCTTGGCGATTGTATTTGAGGTGTTGTGAAGAAAAAAGCCCACTGTGTTATAAAATCCTTCTGAGTAGTCGGAGACATTGCTCTCGTTTTCTGCATTAATCCTTTCAGGGATAGCAGTACAGTTTTCTACATTCTCGTTGGTGACGTAACCTGAGGAGAGCGACTGGCAGCTTGCACTATGTAAAAAATTTGGCTGTGATCCTTGTTGGCTGTTAACTTGGTCAGTAAGGCATCCTTCCTGGTAATTTTCCTGAGGTGTCACGTTAGAGGCGAAAAAGGCACTATATGTCGTCGATGTCAGTGGAGGAAGACAAACACCAACTTTTCCTTTCGCTGCAGCCGGGAGCGAAACATTATCACTGCTTCCCGCAAAAAAATCATCCGGACACACCAGTCCACCAGTGGTTTTACGGAAATATGAAGATTGTGTGATAATTTCTGACTCTTGAAGCAACTCCTCGAGTGTTGGTGTCTTCCTCAGCTGGAAAAACATGAGCAGAAACAAAAATAATGCAATGAGATTTTAAAAAATGTGCTTTTCCCTGTTCAATACAACAATGCCAAACACTGATTATGCCAAAAAACATAATTACAGCTATTTTAGTTGGTAATTTTAATTTTCAACACTTATGCATAAAATGAACTTTCAATACATCTTTCTACAGAGGATTACCCTGGAACTTTAAAAATAATTTCAACATACAAACAAATAAATAAATTATTAAAAAGCGGGGTGTACAACGTGGAGTACAGTGCGTTGTCTGGTAGAGCTAGGCCCAGAGTAGTGGGTGTTTTGGACCATAAAGTCCATCTGCCAAGGGCCATGTACATATATACCACAGCTTCCACTGCAAAATGTCCATACTGGCAGATGGAAGCTTAAAAACGGCCCAGGTGGCAGCAGACTTCCTTGGAAGACCAGCAAAGTATCAACAGGAAGAGAGATGGACAGGCAAAGCCTAATATTCAACTCGGTCATGCACTACTAAAAGCAAACCAGGTAGGAGTCCCTCAGTGACAGACGGGCAATGCAGCAGACAGACCTTGCTACCAAAAGGTTCTCAAATGTTTTCTGTGTTCTTGACTCAAGCTGAACTTTGAGTGATTTGGGTTTTTAAGGAGGGGCTTAAAAAGATTTAAATGAAAGGTGTGCAACTGATTTAAAACACAAAACAAATAAGAGATTTGTCTTGTGTTTGAATATAAAAATGATAGTTTTTGCACAACTGCCAAGAGCCAAAGCCAAAACTTACATTAATTCCAATTAATTGCCCGCCCTGTGAGCCAGTATAGTGACATTTCATGATGGCTGAAGCAACTATTTTACTGCATCAATGGTCCATTGGGTAAATGCATAACCTTATTTGTATCGGCGCAGGCTATCAGCCAAAGAATACTTGATTAATTGCAATATTTGAGTCCATCTGTATTGGACAAATTTATATAAAGTGACCACCCTCTTGGGAGGTGGATAGTCCAGATTCAAGCAGAATTTGTTTTTTAATTATTTCATGTAATTACTCACGTTATAATTACTCACGTTAAATGGCACAGCTGGCCATACAGCACCTGAAAGCCTATAGATTTACTTCTGTCATATTAAACTGTATTGTTGCATTTGAGTCCACAAATCATATGTGCAAACTGTGATGGTGATGTACTATTATACATTAGACGTCTCTCTCCCTATAAAAGAAAACTAAAGATTACAATATTCCTTCCGTATTTTGTGCCCGGACTCTGTCATTCTCAACTGAAGCTGCTCTCACACAAGGAGCCAACAGCATAGGTTACAAACAAAACAAAGCTTAAATTACCTGAACGCTGTGCAGAATCGTCTGGATGTAGGCCATCCGGGGATCATCTCTGAACTGAACTGTGTGGGCAGCAGCTTCGTCTCTGAGTCGACGCATCTCCTCTCTCTGTTTCTCTGAGAGCTGTGTCATCACAAAACAGACATGAGTTATCTGGAATTAATACTGTTTCATTTCAAACAAGTCTGCTTCTGTTTTATCATTATTATTATTATTATTAATGGATGCTTATAATTTACATTAAAGGGAGATAGGCAGCATGTCTCAGTGACTGAATAAATATGCGTCATTTTCCTTCAAACTAAGAGTGCATCTATCTATAAAAAAAAATAAGTTCAGCCTTTTGCTAAAATGATCAACCATGATGACAGCCGTAAACTTATCCAGCACCAGAGGAGGGAGGATGGATCGTCCATAGAAGCGGATGACAGAGGATGCAGATGAGGGTCTGTGGTTTTCCTCCTCTTTCTCTTCTCTTCTCCTGAGCTGAGGAAGAAGATGCTGCACAAACTCTTCGTATTCCTCCATTACTCTTCATCGGAACACAGTAGAGAGTAACTTTGGGCAGTTTAACGGCTAAAAGATTACTACCAAGTTATTGTTTGCTAACGCTAGTTTGCTAGCTAGCTTAGCTAACATAACGCTAGCTTTGGCTGCTTTTTGTTACCGTTTAAAAGTAGACGCATAAACTTTAAAAAAAAAAGAAGAAGACACTGGGTTAAACTCAGCAAAGGTAGACGCTACAGCTATACTGTTGGTCCTCTTATAAGCAACACAAAAGACAGTCTGGTCAGGTCCACTGGGGGGAATCAATGTTTACATTTTTACCGCCTCTCCTCCGGGGCAACAACCGGGTAAAGAACGACAGTGACGGTTACAGAGCGCCGAAAACCCGGAGTGGATTCACACCAGGGTTCAACAAACACCCCCTTTACAACACAAAAGCATTTCACGGGAAAGGAAGAAAACCGCTACAACGTTACGTCGGACAAAGTATAAGAAGTGGATTTAATACTTAAAAAATAATGAGAAGAAATTACTTTTCACTGAACTCAGACTAACGTGGTACTGCCCCCTACAGGCCTGACTGACCAAAGAAAAACATACAGAAAAGTATGGAGATACTTTGGTGTCAGACGGAAGAGAATTAAGGGAATACAACGCTCGCATTTATTTATTTATTTACTGGTTAAATATTTTTACGATTAAAATTAGAATCCAAAGAATTTAAAAATCTAAATTTGCTTGTTGTTGTTCTTCCAGGGCCCTGTCCCAAAAAGCAAGTTTATGTTTTCCTCATCTGGCTTTATTTAAGCCAACAGCACCTATAAGGCTAAGTTGTAACATGAAGGTGGTTATCAACCCCGCAATTCACCCATATCAATCCAGGTGTTCACCTGGGGGGGGGGAAGCAGTGTCAGCAGCATGTGACCAAACAGACACAGGTACTGGTTTACTGGCAGCAGAGCAGCAGACTGAAAGCAAAACACCTGCAGCAGCAGTATCGCATTAACAAGTGTGTAAGGATGGACTATAATTAAAGCTGTGTGTTCTGTTAAACTAACCGAGTGTTATTTTGTGTGTGTAATAGTTTTCCTGTATATCAGTGGTGCTCAATGGTTTAAGAACAAGTAAAGAATAAATATTTGTTATGGTTCTAGTGTAAAATAATCTTAAAGTAATCAAGTACACAGCTTGGGTGTATGAAGGTTAACAGGTTCTCTATTTTAGATACTAAAGTTTACATTTTTTTGTACAGTGATCCATTCACAGAGGCTCAAAAGTAATGGGACAGTTGAATGTTGCGCAGTTTCATGACCAGGTGTGGGCTGTTCCTTCATTATTCCATTCCCGACCATGACCCATTTACACAGACAGATAATGTGAAAAATGAAACTTTTTGCTTCCTTTTTTGCTTCATTTGCTGTACAGCAAATAGTTACACATGTCATAAATGCTTTTATATATTTATGCATTTCCATATATGGACTATTTTTTGTATAAACTTTAATTTAATTGATTATACTGTATTTTTTCAGTACTACAAAAGGCTTTGCCTAGGAAGCTTGCTTGATCTCATTAAACCCTGTACATAACTGTCTTCACTAATCAATGCAGTTATTGCAACAGAATAATGCAACAATATTCAACATAATTGATGACATTGTACGCACTGTTTTTATATAATAAATGCACTATATTTGCTTAAAAATGCTAATAATACTAAAGATTCATGAATGACTAACACGTAGACAGTTCCATTTTAAAACATGTTTATTGGTCATATACAAAATAAAGTAAGCTGTTTATCAACAAACGTACACTATATACATCAATAAATTAAACAATGCATCGGACCGATGATGAAACAGTTAATTTCGTGATTACCCATACCTTGTCATCGTCACTATCTACAAATTGCCAAAAAAAAAAAAAAAGGAGCGAGAGAGAAAAAAAAAGACAATAATTTAAATTGGAAGATAAATACTAACAAAGACTGTCACATTTTAAGTAGTTTCCCATAGAAAGTACTGCCATCAAATAATTTATTACATCCCTTACAGAAATATTACAAAACACAGAATTTCCTATTACAAGGGCTTTTCTGATTAGGTTACACCATATTCACACAAACTCACTACTTTTCAAAGGCTTTAAACGGACCATTATTTATACTGTGTTTCCATGTGTAAGATTTAGAAACACAAAAAAATACATAAAATAAAAAAATCCCATGGTGAACCTGGCTGAATGCTCGCATCAAGAGTCAAATTTGACGGGGACACTGCTACAATAAAAAATAAATAAATACTAATTTAAATGTGCTGATACCTGAACTCTGTACGATTTTTTTTTTATTTGTACATTTGATGCAGGCTGGGTATGAACCTGGGACGCAAAAAACAAACATCACTATTGATGCAAACACCAAACAAAATGATCAAAGAAATCCTTGGTTCATTTACTCCTATCGATCAGGATCAGCGGTGGGTGAAAGGGCTTTTAGAGTCCAGTGGCGTGACTCACTACACAGGAAAATCACTGGATGCCTGCATACCGATTGGCCAAGCAGCAAGATAAGGAGTTAATGATTTGCATCTTCTGGAAGAAGTGTGGGTTTTGAAGAAGGGCTTGGTAGGCTGCTGAGTTAACTAAAGCAGGAGAGAATAAGTAGAGTGGTAAATGGTTAAGAGCTTTATCAGACGCATCTCCACCACTCCTTTTCTGTCTCTGTAAAATATTTATAGATGTAGTCTGAGTGGTTGTTTTAGGGTTTGTGATGAAAAGCTTCATTATGACGAGGGTTCGACCCCTGCAGGGGTAGCAGAAAATAAGGTCAGCATGTCTTGACAATCACAGGAGGTCTGAGGTGTCAGCTGACCGTGTCTGCTGAGTGATAGTCTGGATTAAACTTGTGTAATGTTTAACCTTTTGTTTGTTTAGAGATGTGGCACATGGTTTCTCACTGGAAATGCCACAAGAAGTTTAAATGTGGAAGACAAAAATAAGAACTCTACAGGTCAGCAGGAGGCCTTGCATGACGGCTGCATCATTCTCGGTTAGAAACGGATTAAAAAAATAAAATAAATAAAAACACAAGAATGCACCAATTGTGAAATTTTAAGCAGATAACAATGTTTAACCTCACTGGTGACTCAGCTAGGGTTAAGATTAGGTTTCTGAAACACATTTTTGCTTCTGAAATAATTGCACAGTCAAATGAAACCATTTTAACAAACTCGAAACAACAACCTGTTGCGGTAAGGTGAAGCGGTTTGAGGACTTTATGGACTTATCAAAGGAACAAGTCGCTGCAGTTCTACAAGCCTGAGAGGAGTTGGATGTTCTTTGTGGAATTTAATTAAATCTTGCTTTGTTTTTTTTGTAGTGACTGTATTACTGCATCGCTGCTACACTCTGTAGTCCTCTCACTCTCTTTTTTGTTTGTCTCTCATTGTAGTTACTGTCCTTTATATTTTTATTAACAACACAAAATTTAAAACAAATGTTGACGTGGATTCTCTACAAATACAAATATCTGAATATCAGATGTAAAAGACTTCAACCTTTTTCATATGACATAAGAGATAAACTGCTTACAAGTCCGTTACTCATCTAAAGTGGGGCTTTGAGTTACTAAAACACACAGTATACTTTTGTTTATCAAATGGCCAAAAATAACAGGCCAATACTGTTATCGACCGAGGAACAGTTTTATGGCCAGGTGAGGCCAGTTCTTTCGTAATGAAGCCTCATTGAGGTCTGAAGTGGTTTTGTTGCATTTGCATTTGGTTGCCGTTCTCTTGAAATCTAAATATGAGGGTCAACAGACGTGTCAATCTAAGCGAAGGAAGCCATCATTAGTTTCAGAAAACAAAATATTGTATTCTAAGTGTCGTCCAGACACATGCACCTGACTGGATGTGAGAGACCCATTCTGAGCTAGAAATGGACACCAAACTGATGGAGCACAACAAACAAACATCAGTTGCTGCAGTTTTTGAATGCCGTCTTATTTGCTGAATAAACTGATGGGAGTTGAAGCCAATATCTGCCAATAAAAATGGTGCATCCCTGTTAAAAAAAAACAACAAACAAACAAAAAAAAAAAAACTAAATAAATAAATTTGAAGACTTTGTGTTTTCACAGTTAACTGCTAAGTGAAAGTGGGTAAGCCACACCACATATGCCAGATTTAAACAGAGGCAAGCTGACATTTTAATTTATCAGGTATATTTAAAAAGAAGAAGAAGAAGAAGAAGAAGAAGAAGAAGCTAAACACCGCACATTAGCTCTTTAACCTCGTCACATCACACTGTACAGTCAGGAAAACAGACAACTTGACAAACGACTACGATAGCATCAGTGCTCCTGTGAGGCAGGAGTTTGGATTTTGCCAGTTTGCATAATTAGATGTGTCTATTTAACAGCAGCCACATGTTGACACATTAATGTTTACACAGAATGCTTCTCTCTTTTTTTCGTTTTTCTTTTTAGAAACCAGAGGAGCATAAAAACACAGAGAAGCAGCACACGTAATTGTACAATTTGACATAACTTACAGTCTCAACACAAGTTGAGTTTCCTCTTGTTTTATATGATGTCTCACACAAACACACACACACAAGCCCATTCAACTATCTTAGTGAGGACCTTCATTGACATAATGGTCTCCTTAGCCCCTTACCCTAACCATTAAAAAGAAATGCCTAACCCTAAAAAACCAAACAAAAAAAACAACAACAAGGTTCTATTAGTGTAAGAAATAAGGTTTATAATTAATTTTTTAGTCAAAATATTAAAATAATTATATAAAAAAAAGTATTATATTGATATCGGATGGTTCAGACAGGTTCCCCTTCCACTGAGACTGCATGTATATTATAGAGTGTGTAAATAAAGTGTTACTTATAAAACTAACAGAAAATTGTGTGGATATTGATAAATACTAAAAAGTGAATGACCTCACAGTTGATTTAACAGCACAAAATAAAGCACAAAAACTAAAAGACTCAGTGTTCTGTGGAGGCTAAATCCACTCCACACAGGGTTAGTGGGACCTGTCTACCTTTTTGATTTTAATATCATGTTTTTAGCTGATATTTTAATAGATACAACTCTTTCTGTTAGCTCAAAAGCTGAATATCTCCACAATAGCTTAATACATGGATCAATCAGTCAGAAGGGCTCGACTACAGTACAACGCCAAAGATGACCGTCGGAGGAAGGAGAAGAGGAGCAGAAAAGCTTAACAGGAACTTTAAAGGAGAGTCTGGATGATCCAGCAGCCCCAAACTTTCTCTACACCTAACCATAACCTAGTTGTAACCCTGACACTAAAACCACATTTTGAGCCTCAAAAAGGCCTTCAAATTTGGTGTGTGTCCTCACAAGTGACTGTTGGTTCTCACAAGTATAGTAGAATGCAGATTTCGGTCCTCACAAAGATAGCTAGACAGAAACACACACACACGCACAGCTGGCCAGTGAAAAACATCAGTGAGACAGGCAGGAAGCAGAAGACTGATGGAGAGGGACAGAATACATTTTTAAAACTCAGATAACGGCATTCAGGACGTACAAAACAGGGCGTTTTCTTTAATATGGAGAAAACACGTTAATACA